AAAAAAAAAAAAAAAAGGAGCTGAAGGCATCCAGTTACGAAAACAAAGAATCTACCAGCCAATCTGATACTCTGGAAATAATTATTTACAAAACAAACTAAACGAGAAACCCATTACAAACAGTATACCAAACCTTCAATCGCGTTCTAGTTAAAACTCACGACGCCACAGCACAGACATCGTTTCGACTTTCTAACACAATTCTCTTAAGCAAAACAATTTGAATGACGCAAAGGTACAACAGCTTTATATGATTCAGGGTCTCATAAGTAAGAATTATTTAACTTCAGGGAACTCTCACAAGGCAAACAAATAGAAAAAAAAGACAAGAAGAGAACTTTCAAGCTTAAACAAGAAGCCGAAAACATTGGCAAGTACCCCATGCTCCATAATTTCCCCAAGAACGAGAGACATTTCAAGATAATGAAGATTCAACAACAAGCAACATAAAAATTCAAGAAAAATAACCCAAAATTTAATGCAAAAGAGAGCAGCCACTGATAACAATGAGGGCAATAAACAGTACCTTGCTTGGATTTCTTGAAACCGCCATTGCCATTCAGTCCACCTTCGAATCTGCCCCTTTTTCTCGCTCCTCCAAACTCCATGCCCTAATTAACTTCCTCCTTTTAAAATAAATACTAAAAAACAACAGAAAAAACCACAGATGCAGAGTTCAAACGACGCGAACTACGCAAAAGGGAAACTAAGGAACGATAAAAGAACCCTAGAGAGAGAAAGTAGGTCGCTCCAGAGAGAAGATTCGATCTAAATGCGAGTTCATGTGATTTTTAACGGGCGCTCATCACAATTGGTAAACCGTCTTAAATTAGTGCAGGACATTACGGCCTTTTGGGCCCTTCTTATTTGGGCTTCTTAAGAAAATTCATAAAATGGTTTACAAATTGGCAATTAAATGTGGTGATTAAAGATTTATAAATTGTTGTTTGATAATTAGTAGGTAGCTCAATTGTCTTATATATAATTTGCGAATATGTTGAGTCTACTGACGTATACTTGCCAAATAATTCGTGGGTATGTTGTCAATTTAGATATGCTTCATATGCTTCAAATTCGTGTAACAGACAAGTATTGTGCTAGTAACTGTGAAGATGACTGATAAGAGTATTATTGGAAGTTATGGAACTATATTATACTTTTCTTAACAATATTTATACATTCTACTATTTTTTGTTAAAAAAATAATACAGAAAAATTGTTATTTAATAAAAATATTTAGTTATTTAAATTAACGGACTTACTATATAAAATAATTTTATAGTTTATATATGAACTAATAGTGAATATATTATATCTTAGGAGCATAGTAAGATGTAAAACAAAAAATAGAATGAAAATATATTTTAATTTTTTTTTTTAAAATAGTCTCAAATACCCAAAAAATAATAATTTGAAATTAAGGTTAAATAAATTAAAAACAGAGTAAACAATTCAATTAAGGCTCCACAAACTAAGTGAAAGTAAGAGTAAATAAAAAGGAAAAAAATAAGTCTATCATATTTATTTTTCTTAATCCACCTCGGGAACAATAAAGCATACTCAATCCAAATACAAATGGCTTGAGTTGGTCCAAGCAAGTTACCTCGTATACAATGATCTTAACATCAAGAGTATGAAAATCGGGCGATGAATTATCACACAATCTTCACAAGAGTGTAAAATCCAAGAACAATGAGTGGAGAAGGTGGAATCGTTGCAAAATAAGGTTCTTGGCAGTGAGGACGACTCAAGACAGTCCGAGAAGTTCAAAAAAGCATTTTTTGGTGGGAAAGTGTCAATGGTGGCCGGAAAAACGGTTGTCAAAAGGTTTTCAGGAAAAATTTGGCTAAAAAGGTCGTTTGTCACCAAAAAATTTATTGTCAGTAAAAAATCTCATCAGCAGTTCGGGTGCGGCGTGGCTTGGTAATTTGTCTGGTGGCTCGATGATTTGTTGGCGGGTGATATGGGATAACCGTAGCAGGTCAACTAGGTCTGGAAAACAACTGGACCGAAATGGGTCATTAGGTCGAACAAAGAATGAAGATTCCAGCGGTCGAAAACCCCCAGGTCGAAGAGGGCACTAGGTATATTCCAGTCCACCATGATCGTTTGGAGCAACGCACCACTCTAGCAAATTGATGAACATAAAAAATTTCATTTCATGATGTCTGGTACTTTTTCGCTCTTATATTCGATTGATTCTTATCTATTTGACATGAATAGACATTGAGATTGAATTAATTTCCATTTAGTTTTTAATAATATACCAACATATTAGTAAAGACCACAAAACTTATGACATGATTGGTATGAGTGATGACATGTGAATAGAATGATCATTCTCTTACTTTTTCTTTTATCCCATAATTGGTATTTTTTTTAAAGGAATTACCATGCAATAGAAACTGCAAACCCCATCTTCATGGGAGTAGTCATTCCACAGTTTGCAAGATTTCCCTATTCTCATATTTGTAGGAATCATTCTTTCAAAACTAAAATTAACAAATACTAATAAAAAATAAATATATAATATATACTATAAATCATGAATAAATTATGTTAAATAAATCATTTTAAAAATAAATATCAAATAAAAAATCTAAAAGCTTATTTTTATTTATTTTTCATATTTTAATAGATATATTAAATACTTATATAAATTTTTATACATCATATATATTATATATTTATTCATAAGATGAATTATAATATAAAAAATTATATTCGACATTATATGCTTACATGAGTTTATGTGATGATATATTTGTATTACTTATTATGTATATGAATACACAATTAACTAATTTATTATATAATATATATATACGTAATAATACAAAAAAGATATATACTAAAATATATTATATTTTTTTAAGAAAAAAATAGTTTATTATTATCATAAATAAAAGAAATAACATTAATATAAATATTATTTTTTTTTATAAAATACCGATAAATGATAATATAGAGTTACAGTTTTATTCTTTCTGTATACCAAACACATCAATAAAAAAAACTTATTTTCATTCATTTTTCATCTTCATTCATTTTTTCGACTCATTCAATTACTATCAAATTGAATTCTAATATACCAATCATGTCGTTATAGTTTCTTATGTTGATTTAATCTAAAACGAAACATTTTTTTTTTCTTTTTTTTTTTTCAATCAATGAATCATGGCTTGGTTCCAAATCGAAATTAATCAAAGTATCAGGCCAATAGATATGAATCAACGAATCAATTTACGATTAAAGCATATACTCAGTAAATAAGAATCTATAATTTAATAAGACCGACCACTCAACAAAGATTCCCGTACAACTAATCCCATCTCGAGACACCATATCGAGAATATTTCAGAGATTAATTCCGTACAGACACACTTGACACTTATATATCCATATACACAAGAAATATGATAAGCTAGTCACATGACCCATGTTCAATAATGGTCAAAATCAGCCCCATACATGTGAGAGTGTGCACTTCCAAGTAGACTTGGCCAAAGCCCAGGCCGGTTCCCGGCCCTGCCCAGCCCGCCGGGTCGACATGCCTTAAATGCTGGGCCCGTAACTGACCCTTAAGAGGATATGGGCCAGTTTAAAAACCGGCTAGGGCGGGCCAGTCCGAGACCGGTTCACGGTCGAGCCAACCCATGACCATGTCTACTTCCAAGTTGCAAAACATTCAAAATAAGAAATGAAGAGTAGACTTTTTGTTGTTGTTTCACAACCCTAATCCCAAATCTCGTCGACGTCTCTTCTTAAATTTGATCGATTGGCCTTCTCCGGTGAAGGTGGGCCTCTGGCCAGGGGTCGTCGTTCACTGCTCACCCCCTCGAACGAAGTGCGCCTCCGATGTCACTGTGGAAGGGCTGCGATTGGAGGTCTGTTTCGAGATTTATGGCGGAGGTTTCGATCGATGGTGGCCTCTTTCAGGACCGGTGCTTGGCTGACGACAGGAGTTTTCCCCTCAATCGCCGGTGGAGCCTCGTTTTGCGAAGGTAAGCAGTCCGTCTGCGCTTTATTGGGAAATCTTGGTCCCGGCCTCTTTTGGCGGGGCTCCGCCTCTTTTGGGTGGTGGGGCCTCGGCCTCTGATTGGGCCCCTTGGTTTTGGGCAGAGTGCGAGACTTGGAGGGGCCGGGCTCCGGTCGCTGCAGCTTTTTAGCCGTGGTGGACGGGGTAAAGGGACAGACCCACCTCCATCCTCCCTTGCCCGGCTAGTGGCGTTAGGCGGCGGGGGAACCTGAGCTCGGCTAGTTGTGTTAGACGGGTTCGGGTGGTCCGGTGTGGGGGCTGGTCGATTCTCCTTCAGTTGACGATGGGTCGATTCAGGGATTGGTTCGGGCTCGGTCTCGGCTACTTGTATAGGCGTTCGCGCAGTTTTGGTAGTGGATTCTTTGGCTATGAATCTCTCTTGTGTCGATCGTTCACTGCTGGTTCGCGCCTACTCGTTCGCTGGGGAAGGGCTTCTAGTTTTATTTTAGTTTATTTGTGTTTTTGTTTCTTGTGTTTTTTGTTATGTATCCGTATTTGTGTTGCGAGTGTCTTGTATTTTTGGTTTGGGTCGTTGACCCCTGTGAGCCCGAGTATCACTCTGTACGCCCGAGTGTCACCTTATTGCCCTGTTGGGGTCCGACACTCTGGTATTACTCTGTTGGGGTCCGACACTCGAGTAGTTGTTTGTGTTGTTGGTTAGTTTAGTTGTGAGTATTTTTTATTTTAACGTTGCTAGCCGGGATTCTAGGCGGTCTTCTGACATGTCTTCTCACTTTTTCAGTCGTTGACTGTTGTGTATTCGTATATTTGTGCATTTTGATTTATAATATTATCTATCATTTTGGAAAAAAAAAACGAAGAGTAAACTGTATATAAATCATCTCTTTATCTAATTACAATTTTACATTAATAAGAACTAATTTGGTATAATTTCATTTAGCACAACCTTTCATTATTATTATTATTATTATTATTATTATTATTATTATTATTATTATTATTATTATTATTATTATTATTATTATATTATTATTATTATTATTA